CTATGTGTGATAGCCATTTCACTCACTTGCCCAAAGCCCACAAGTCTGGGAACCAGCTGCTGTCGGCAGCTTGAAACGCTACCGAGCGCAAGTTGCCCGTACAGGCGATAGAAGGCTCCGATCAGGCTGGATTTATGGGGCTTCTGCCAGGGTCAGCTGATTTGGGGGGGTTTAGGAAGAGAATTGGGTGGCAGTCAGGGGGGTTTAGGAGTTAAACTTTAGGAAGGTGGCGGTCAGGGTTCAAACAAAGACTGTCTACCTCTGGATAAGCAGTTGGGGTGGGGTATGTTCGGGGTAGAGGCGGATTTAGGGTCGGTTTAGGTTGAATTCACGGTTGATTGAGGGTGGGGTGATGCTTGCTTCAACGGCTCAATATAGGCGTGCAGTTTAGGGAAGGGTCTTGAATCGGCGCTAGTGCTGACTTAAGGTTGTGTAAGGTATTATTTAGAGCGGCTCGATTTAGGTTTTGGTTAATTCAGGCTTGGTTCAGGGTGGACTTCTGGTTGACGTAGGGCTAGTTTCGGGCGATGTCTTTCCGGCATTTGGGTTGTGTGGCAACCAATGAAGAAGGCGGATAAGTTGCGGGTTCAGAGGAGACGCTTGGCTTTGGTTGCCTTTGCGACTGTGTGTGTTTTCTTTCCATTGTTGCTTGGCCCGTGGTCATGGATTCAAAGTGAATGCTCATCGACGGGGGCTGCTGGTAAACCGACCTAAACTTTGAAACCATGGTTGCCCTCCCTAATTACTCTCCCTGCCGCCTCCCAACCCAACCTGCAACATTTTAAAGCCATTTGGTGCAGCTGCCACTTGTGCGATAATTACCACTAATTAGGCCTTCCCAAAAGAACCAAATATCACCGGGCTGCGCTTGACACGTAACCCCCCGACTCCAAGCCCAGAATCAGGTCGATGCTCTGTTTCCGAGGCTTTGGGGCAGCGCCAAAGCCGATGCCGACCCTTGCTGCAAAAGCTGGATGCGATACAAGCGGCTGAAGCAGAAGCAGCAACACCTGGCGCAACCGAAATGACAGGCAAGCCATGGCGCAGGTAACCAACGGAATCATGTGAAGCTTGGTACACGCTGGTAACAAACTGACTGGTGTTCAGGGTCCCTAAGGGATAGTTTCCTTTCAGGGAAATCCTGGGCTTCCTAAAACCCCTCTTGGTTCCCTACTGCGAATCAGCAAGAACAACTGGGGACACCAGTTGTGGTTGCTTCCCAAATAGAGTCTCAATCCCTGAAAGTGTTGTTTCGGTGTCCGTTAAGCCGTTAAGCCAGCCAAAAGAAAATGGCTCCTCTGAATTTAGATGATGCACCCACACACTGATCTATGCAAAAAAACAACAGTGGTCCGAATCTGGGCGAACAACTCTGATTCACGGGCTCAATATAAGGAATCCCCATGCAAGGGGCATGCATCACCGGTGAGCTCGTTTCACCCCCGATCGGTGAGCTCGTTCTCATTTGCGCTCTGTTGAGCAGCAGCCACACCCATGCGCTTTAGTTCAACATTGAATGGTTTCTATAGGCCTACTAAAAACAAAAACAAAAAACATAAAACCAGGTGGAGGAACCACTAGCTAAAATGGCATTCTGGGATTTGGGAGAGCCAATGCCATGCTTGCAGAAACTCAGGTCGGTGGAGTTGTGGTCCAATGAATAGAACCCTTCATACTCATAAGCATCAACATCCCAATCAATGGGTGCCCTTTTGCATCCAGTTTACTGGGCGGTTTCGGATGTTCTGAGAGATATCTTGGCCGAACCCATGGTACACCAACAACAAGATGTGCAGACTATGTGTCTCATTTAGTCTATCCCTAAAATACAAACACAAAAGATTCTCTCGCAGCGCTCCTTGAGAGATCTCGGAGTATTTAACCCTTTTTCCACCCTCGGCTTGATCGTCAAGACTTAGTGTACTAAAGTGGTCTGCCCAAGCCATGCTTTGAATGAAAACGGCGGATCTTCGCGCCGGTTTCCTTCTACCTCGGGTGTTATTGTGGCTTACCTTGCAGCACCCCGCAGGTGCCTGTCTCTCGCGACAAAAAACCATGCAAGCTGCGCTGAGGCGAGGCAACCCAGTAGCTGTAGCGCCACTATGGGCCCATACTCCACTCCTGGCGTGCTTTAAACACCCCAAATGGGTTAAAACAAATGGCTGTGGCTCAAAAAAGTGCACCAACACGCCACCTTGGTTTTATGGAACCAAACACTAAAACTGGCGTAACGCTAGCTCTTTAATTTTGAGCCACACCCAAATGGATTTTAGGATATGCTGTACGCATCGTGTGATGCAAACGATCGGAGCTTTGGGGCTTTGGGAAGGCTACCCTGGCTTCGTTGGACACCCAAGACGTCCCTTCCTTCACAGAGCGGGGAAAAGGCCAAGCACGCCGGCTGCTCTTTGCTCTGTTGGTACTGAAATGGGCTTTTTGACTGAAACCCCGTTGGAACCCGCACAAAAGGCCGATAGCCCATGTGCCACATGGCGGAGAAGATGGGCAATCTCCTGATCTCTATTTCTTCCGATCAAGCAAACAAGCCATCTGTGTATGACACTGACATGAGCGCACGCGTTGAAAACACATCCCGCGAGGAAAAACACGTGCCCATCCCGTAGGAAGGGTCCTGGAGACCGAGCCTTCTTGGCTTTGGGAACCTTTCCGTGCTCTCCGATAGGTGTGGGTCAAAAATCAGGTAACCCCCAAATTGCTTGCCCTGGTAAATGGAAACAAGCACTCAGACCAATGGTCCCCTGGTTGAACTTTGCCCATACAAATCGGTTGCCCCCTAGGGACCCCACCTTTTCTGGGCTGCCCTCAGATCCCCCGCTACAAGTTTAACTTTTAGTGGGTTAAATGGAAACTACCACTAAACACTAAAAAGCTAAAAGGCGAAGGGGATGGCTGGGAGCCACCAAGCTTTGTGGCCACTAAACAGGGAACACCCAAAGATCCATCGATTCGCTTCAGGTGAGATACCCACAGCTCCCTCGCACCGCCTGGGGCGGGTTTCAGCCACTCGCTCATGGCGAGCGCCGAAGTTTCGTTCGGCGCTCGCGCGCGTTGCGGTTTCGGAAAGCCGCGCTGAATGGTGCGAGGGATTTGATTTGTGATTTGTCCCACTCACACATTGCGCAACTTAGAGGAAGCTCGGGATCTGTTGTTGTTTGCAACGTTCGCCACAACCAGCACATTGCAGATGTGCTGAGGGTGTAAGGTTTGATCCCTCGGTGTTATTTCACCTCTGGGTTTGGGCCGGGGTGGAAAATGCCAGGCGGAAGCCGAATGGAACTTGTAAAAACCTTGCTGGGAAACCGCCAGAAACCCGAATGAATCGACACCTGAACAGCACATCATAGCTCAACTCCTGCATCAAGGAGCATATGCAGTTGAGCCACAAAGACTGCATGTAGGCGAAAGCTGGATGAGCATCCAATGTGGAGTTGTTGAAACTCATTGTGCAAGAGCCGCTCTTTCGAAGTGCCATCTTGAAAATCGCTGTGTGGCAAAACAATGCACATGTTAAGGCTCGTTTTGTCGGCTGGAGCTCTCAAGAGCCCAGCCCCCTTGGTGGTAAGGATTGGTGGTTTGGGACTTTGAACCCCTGATGCTTGTAGAGGGCAAAGGGGAAACCACACAAACCACCAAATAGAGGGAGCTGGTCATTGAAAGTTGACAAGTCGTGCTCCATTGGGTCCTGTCAAGCCTGTGCCCAACTTGCTTTCAAGCTTGCTGCGAAGACCCTGGCAGGGTAGACAATTAAATCATTGCTGCTATACATGAAAGGAATCAACGGACACCAAGCGAAATAACTAGCCCTGGATTTTGGACATAAACAGGTGATGTCAGTTGTCAACCAATGCTTGTCTAGAAATGAGTATGTGTCAACCTAGGAGACTCTCCCAGTTTGATATTGTATTTGCTTTTGGTTGCCCTTCCTACAAAGGGCACCCAAAAAAACTCACACGCCGAATTCACCAACGTCTGACCGCAACCCAAGCGCGCTGCTTTCGCCAGCGACGCGCACGTTGGTTTCACTGAAGCATCTACCATAGCCTCCCTCTCGAGAAGCGCAGCGAGCCCACCAGACGCACATCTTGCAAAAAAGTGCCGCCTTTTGACTCGTTCACTTGGAATGGGCTCCACACCTGGAGAAGTTACACCTGTTGCAAAAGTAAACCGAAAGGTCGAACACCGGACCTTTTTTATTGCCCATAGAGGGGGATCCACCACAAAAAATGGGTGCCACCGAAAAAGGGGTACCGATCTCAATTCACATCCGTCTACTCAGCTGGATAAGCAGCCCAAAAGGCAGTTTCGCTTACAAATGTTTGTGGTTCTCTGTGGAATCCGGTGAAACCCGGGCAGTTGCTTTGTTTTCGGTGGCCAGTACTTCACAGCGGCCTGAAAGTCTTTCTCACTGTCCGTGACGGATACGGTTGAACAGCCGTGAAAGAACTTGCTTCTCTCAACCAAAGGACAGCTACTGGACAGAGCCCGAATCCTGAATCATCCCGCCGCGGTTGGTAACAAAACATAAGCAGTGCTCCTGCCTGAGAATCTCCCATACAAATCAACATGGAACCAATTAAGGAGATTCCGGTATCAATGATAACTTTGTGGGTTCCCTGTGAATCTGAAGAAGTACAATAAGAAGTGTCTACACAAGTACGCACATTCTAGTATCTCGCCGGCATGTCTCACCTTGATTGTGAAGTACCCCACAACCCGATCCGAATATCGCGGCGGTTGTAGTAAACTCCCCTGATTCCCTATAATATGTTCTTTGGGGGAATCGAACAAATTGCCGTGCGGCTATTACCCCCGCAGAACACAGTTTTTTTTTTGAACTTTGCGCCGAGCAAGCACACGTGCTCCATAAAACAAAGGTCAAAAATCCAACCAAATCGCAGAAGGCAAGTGACGTGCTGTTCGATACATCTCCAAGGTGACGTTTGAGCATTCCATCGCCCCGCCCGAGCTAGCGAGCACCCTCACCTCTGTGATAGCAGGTTGCCAAAGAGCATGCCCTGGCAAGGTGGGCAAGACTCAGCCAAAGAAAGGCAGGAACACACAAGCACACACACAGAAACCAACAACACACATGCAAACAAATAACCTAAAGAGAACCAGTGTTACAAACACCCCACATGCATTTACTCTTCAGCCCGAAGCGCGAAACAAACATCCCGCGATTCGAATGCGCGGCTTCCGGCTTTCTTCGCTGTCCCCAACGTAGGACGCAAATATCAAGGGTTGACATCGGCTTTCATTTCCAGCCATTCCAGATGCCCCAACTGCGGATGGCAATTTGGCACTCTTGCAGTACTTTCCAAAAGGAATTCACAGGGGCATCAAACACAAACGCAGTAGATCATAGGAAGCCCCAATCAGTCAACACGAAATCCAAAAGTCTGATCCCAAAAGCAAATTCCATGAATGGGGTTTCTCCCGGTTGACCGCAGGGCAGAAATGTGGTCCCTTTAAATTAACCAATTTTCTACCCAGGTGTTGCTCAGCACTGAGCACTGGGTGCATTCAAGCTTGAATTTTGAAGCGCAATGATACAAACGCCAAACACGGCGAGAGAGAAATGGCCATGGGTCAAAACCCCGTACCCCCAGTGAACATCCCAATCCCCACTAAAATAGACTAAAATGGGCAAAATCGTACCATTGGTTTTGAACCATGGCCAAATGACCTGGAATCAGACCCCGACATGGAGTTGTCCTCGGGTAGTGACTCTTGCAGTTTAGGGCTGACCACTATTTCTCAAAGAGCAGGGGCCACCCAACCCAAGCGCCAAAATCACATTGTTGCTTGCCCAAGTGCGCTTAGAATGCACTATAGAACAACATGAATTCTCGACTAGGTCATCCTTCATCATCTGTAAGGGCCCCCCAAGCCTCTGCCAGTTCACAAAGGCTGCCACTGAACAAGCCTAGATGCGTGTCAATGCACTTTCATGGTTGCTACAGCAGCTGCCAGGTGGGTGATCCAATCAGCTATGCGGCTTAAAGCAACGCCACAGCTGAAGCAGAAAATACATCTACGGACCGACGGATGGGGCAACACAACGCATTCACAGACCAACATACTGCAACACTGCTTCCGACACGCAACGAGATACTGGCTGAGCCATCTCACAAACCAGCATGAAAGCTCATGATGACTCACTTTCACAACAAAGCAGGGCTACAACGGTTGCATCTCTGTTTGTCATACATGCAAATCGATTCCCACCCCCTGGCCCAACGAGACAAATCAAACAAATTAGACACACACAAACACCAACAAAAACATAGCTGCATCCACAACATCCAATATCCTCCATCCCTTGCCCTAGCTAATTCAGTATACATTGTTTTCCAAAGTATACCCCTCTCCCTATACATTACTCAGATAATATAATGGGGATTGGGCCCCAGAACGAGCTAAAGGCTCTTGAACAGTCAGGATGGCAGCGGCTTTCCAGAACGGGACCAAAGGATAAACGGTGTCTTGGACCCATTGGCAAGCGCTCCAAGCTTGTACATGGTGCTTACCGGTTACCGGGAAACAACCAAAACACCAACTTGCTTTTAGCCTCCCCATGACGAGAGACCGCCGCGCGACAGAAGGAGACCAAGAAGGAAGTAGCTTTATGCTCACGTGCTAATTTGACACCAAAAAGATGGTAGGTTTCCTCTTCGCCACCAAGGGGAGGGGCCTGCCAGGTGCTTCATTTTGGCAGGGGCTGGTACAAGAAACGTCATAGTTGTGACGTTGTCGCACAGTTCCTCGCAGCCCGATTCCAATTAGCCCCTGAAATTACGTGGGTGTGGGTGTGGGTGTGGGTGTGTGGGTGTGTGTCTGTTTGTGTTTGTGTTTGTGTTTGTGTTTGTGTTTGTGTTTGTGTTTGTGTGTGTGTGGTGTTTTGAGGGCACCCCTTTTTGGCTGCTTACCGCTGCACCATTTTGGGGGTCCGATTCCTAAGAAAAGACAGCAATTGTCCACGCCAAACACATCTCGGGCCCGCTCCTGTTTTGCCTTTGGAGGTCCTTGGGCAAAGAAGTTGGTCCTCGGGAGTCAGAGGGCTCAACCGCTTTCCCCCACTTTTGGGGTGCGCGAATTCCGCGGATGCCACAGATTTCGCAACCACAGGCCTGTAAATTCAATCATGGTTTGCTGGTGTACTTGAAATGTTTAGGCTACGTCCGTAGCTCTCCTTGCGATTGCCGGGACTTCGGAGGCTTGGACAACCATGGGATGATTTTCTCAGATCGGCATTTCAAAGCACATGCCCCACAAAAATATGTGAACAATGAAGTGACTGTTTTACAACCTCATGCAACACTGGATCTTGACAAGCAAGCCTGGCTTTTGAACTGTAACTTGGGGTGAGTGTACCCAAAGCAAATGTCTTGACTACAGTCGATGCAGTGAATCATCACAGCTCATATAATCTGCACCCGACTGGGCAAGAACTCCGCTAGTCTCAATTCGGATTGAATTGGGCGCTTGCCTGCATGACTGAACCTGAAGGCCTGTAAGAGGAGTCTAGGGCACATTCGGGGAAATCTAATTTTTACACCGCTCGTCGCTGGCTTCCAGATTACCTGGCATTTCATGCCAGCTTTGAATGCATTCATAGTTCAAGTACGCGAGTGGTTGCTCATTAGGCCCTCCGAAAATAGCCCTCGGGTGCATGGCTCTCGGGCTTCCCACTACGTGGTTGCCAGCAACAAACAACTTTCGGAATCAAAGGTTGAGTGGGATGCCGATATGAAGCTTGCTGTCATGTCCGATACCGAGGGTAAACCTGTAGCCATAGGAAGCCATTTTCAGCACTCAGCTGGCTTCCCTGGGAAAAAGGGCACGTGTGTCCGGGCCCCGAAAAGGGGAAAGAACCTTTTTAATCAAGAGACACATGGGTCAAAGTCACCGGGTTCATCCAACTGGATCATTCCGCTGGGCTTGAAGGGCCCGACTTTGGAGAGTTTCAGGTAGGCAAGTTACGAGTTCCAGAAAGATGCGCCAACCTTTTGACCACAGGTTCTGGGGTGACCCAAGAGTTTTCCTCAGCCTTTCGAGATGCAACCCTAGACTGCAACCCAAAAATGCGGGTATGACTTTCTTGAATGATACCTTTTCTGGAGTTGTTTTGCAGGACAACCAAAGAAAATCCACCCACTTGAGAGGCGCGGCTCCTATTTTGAGACAAACCCGTGGCGGGCCCACTTCCTAGTCCCAGACCTCCAGTGTTGATAGGAGAAACGGGAACCCTTTTTTGTGGTGGTTGACATCAAATCATTTTCCCCTCCAAAACCAAGCTTGGTTGACGTTGGAAGGAGAGCAACACAAATAAAATTTAACAACCATGCAAACGGTAAGAGGAGGAGCCATGGAGAAGTTGACGGCAAGTTTGCTCCCCCCGAATTCGAACCAAACTAACCAATCAAAATGACACCTATGGGTTAAAGATGCCACCAAAGAGCAAGGTCGCTGAGCTGTCCTCAGATCCCCCTTCTGTGAATAACTCGTTTATAGTGGGTTCAATGGACCCCCCCACTAAACCAACGAAAACGCTGAAAAGCTCAGGAACCGGATGGCTGGGAACCACCACGACGCACCACAAAAGGAACCCGACGATTCACGGGTTCCGAACCCAGCCCGTCTCAGTCCTTGGGCCTCCATTCACCGGCGCCGGGGGCGCCTAGACACGAGGAGCCATCAAATGGGTCTGTTGTTTGGTATGGCGGGAAACCGAACCGAAAAGGACAATAGCAGAGACACTCCCTAAAAATAAAATAAACATCTGAAGGTACCAGCAACTACCTGGAAGTAGACAGCAACTGGAAGCACCGGGCATGTGAAAATGTTCATGGGTTCCCGAGCCTTTGCTACCATTGGAGGGATATTAAAAATCATGGCATCAGCCGTGACGAGTCCAGTCAAATGGACCTGGAAAAGGTAACCGACCGAACCTCATGGGCGGTTGAGAGTTACCAGGCCTTGGACGCCCGGCGTTAGAGTTCGCACTCTGGAATTGGGTGCTTGAAAGGGAGTATATAGAACAACCATACATTTGCCTGGGGTCCCATATTTGAAGGCCAGCCTATATGCCCTAGCTAGTACTCTCGCTCAAGCACTTGTAACCTGTACCCTGGTTGAGATGACTGCAAGTTTGCACCGGTGTATGCTCACTTACTTCCATTTGCTTAAATCCCCTTGGAAACAAAAACAACAACACATATTTCCAGTATCTTGGATAGATTTGCTTTAAAACCACCAGGGGGACATCAACAACACATATTCATTTCAGCACATGGAAGCTCCACAAAATCAAACACATACCATTTCGGCAGACTCATTTCAGCTTTAAAAACCCGGAAAATGAACATATTCGTAAGCAAATACAACCAACAGAAAGAAATCAACATATTCGTTTCAGCACATGGAAGCTTAAAAACCCGACCTCCACGGCGCCAAACACCTCTCAGCCACGGCCCATGGAATCGACGGCGCCTGTGGCGGTGGAGGTGCCCGTACGCCTGCCGCCTGCGAATCGGTCTGGGGTTGGGGGGGGGGGGAGCGATTCTCTGATTTTTTCTTTGGCCTTTTGGGTCTGTCTAGGCTTCTGGCAACACTTTTTGGAGACCATCTGGGTATGCGGCAACAAAATTGCAGCATGATCAGCAAAATGGCCGGCTTTCACTTGAAAAGGGTACACCTAGTTCAATTCAAGAGGACATCAACATGCAACCTACCAGCAAAAGGCTGCATCTGAGTTTGAAACATTCCCAGACTGACTCAACCTGCATTAATTCCAAGGAAGCAACATGGGCTTCTTCTTTCTGTTAGACTCCACACGTCAAGCGTCAAGGCACAACAAACACCATGCTGGTGTCCCCAATTGGTAAGGCTTCACCCCGCCCGCTCTGAAGTTGGGTGAGTTGTCTATGCCCCCATCATCCCTGCTGCTCTTGTATATGATGACGGCTATTAGTTGTTTGTTTCAGTTGTTCATGTGTTCTTAATGCCACAACGAATCACCTCTTTTAAACATACATGACTGACGGTTAGTCAAGACTCATCGAAACACGGCAATCGAGTCACGATCAAAACTCATTGACTGTTGGTTCTACCAACAAGGACCTACAGGTCCAACAAGCATCATTCTATGGTTTGCTGTGGTCCAAGGCTCCGCGGCTCTGCGAAAGGTGCAACCTTCTTAATGAATGAGGTCATATATACATGCATATTATATATATATATATATATGTATATATATTCATATATAGCCAATGGCTGCGTGTGGGAAATCGGAAGGGCTCCGATATGACCAAGTATTCTTATAATATATATATATACGTATATATATATATATGTATATATATATATATATGTATATATATATGTATATATATATATAATTAGGCATTGAAATTGTGGTCGCCATCTGACCAGGAAGCTCTGAGAAGGATGGATGACTTGCGACCACTGCGTGAGCAACAGAAGCACCCCATACATCCAATTGCCAGAAGCAATGCTGATGTCATCTGCGTGATGCTTCTCGGAATTGAGCCCTGTTTTCGTCATTGCCAACTCAGTGTAAGATTCAACATGCTTGACATGGGTAACACAGAGATAAACACTATGCTGCTGGTGCATAAGTGTAAGGATTGACCCATCAAGGTTGTGAAACCAGCCGGAATGCTTGCCAAGGAATTAACCGATACATCCCAACTCGGATTGCTAATTCTGGGACATCCCCATGTAAGCACTGCACGCCTCGGTGGTTTCCTTTTCTGTAACAATTGTGGTGATTTAACCGCGAGTTCAGCAAACTGCTGCATAGGGGTCCTGTGTTTCAACAATCCATCAGAATGTGGGTCGGCACAGTTTACCTCAGAATCTGTTCGGGTGCCACTGGGTGCGGAATATGAGATGCGGGTTGACCATAAGGTCCTTTACATGGGCCCACATGGGAAAAGTTACCCATGGTTATTGGGGGGCCATGGGGGCCCTAAATGGAATATTGAGCATTGGTCAACGCGGGCTATGATCAATCTGGGGTGAACATTAATTGTTGGTATTTACCGAGGAACCATACACCAACAAAAAAAATCATGCTTCCGGGGATTTCCTTGGGTGGTGTGAAAGGGATTTCGTCCATCTGCACTACGGCCATGTGAGGCCTTGGAGGCTGTCAGAGGCGCCTCCTGGCCGTCAACTCAGTGACCCGAAAGGTGGACACCCTGGAAGCCACTTTGGGGTTGATCCCAAACCAAAAAGCGGCAAGAGGGGGTGCTACCCAGAAAAATGGGTTACTTTGACCAAATATGTGGAAGGAACCCACCCCAAAAAGAAGGAAAGAGGGGGTGCTACTGATTAACATGGGTTCACTGTCCATTGCACTTGCTTGTCTTCTGCTTCTTATTTGCTGTCCTCTTGCCAGTCAAAACTGATACACCAGAAACGGAAGTAAATTGATGTTCAAAAATCCACAAACATTGAGATGACGCCATCGCTTGTCAAGGTCCCCAGTCTCTACGCATACGCTGCTCACTATTTTGTCACAAACAAAGTCCTGGCGTTCAATTGGAGTAACGTCATGCAAAGAACTCCCCAGAGCAGATGCCCCCTCCCCAAACAAAGAAAGAAGACGAAGAAGAGTTTGACCACCCCGCCAGAGTGGGTGGTATGCTTGTGGTTTCCCATGTTAACAGACAACAGGGGCACCCACAAAAGAAGCATACACATCTCTGGCTGGGACTGCCCAAAGTTCCGGGCAAGACGAAGGAATGCTTCAGCGAGACCATACTGGTCAATTCCAGGGTCTCATCGTCTCTGCGTGCGCGATACAGTCGGGTCGGGGTCCATCGGTCCCCGTTCAGAAGTGGGGCGTTTTAATTGCGAGGTGCAGACATAAGGCATTTTCAGGTAAAAAGGTTATTCAAGGTTATTCTTTGTTGGTGGCTCCGCCGTTTCTGTCGATTTTTGTCACGGCCAAAGGACGTGAACCTTCAACTTTTTCCAAAGTCCCGGGCCGGCACGTCCAATTCGGAAAGTGAGTTGGCCCTTGCCCTTCGACCAAGGCCCGGCAAAAACCGGAGCCCGCCTCTGCTTCACCTGGCAGACGGGGGCAAAACTCGATTCCAGCGGGAGCGGGTCAAAGGGTCAGGCTGTTACCCGACAGTTCCACTGGGCTGGCACCTGGCATTTACCCATATCCGAAACCACAGGCGTTGTCCCAAAAGCAGTCGTTGGGGTTGGGTGTGGGGTGTGGCTGTTTGTTCAAGGTGGACTTAAAAGGCAAAAGGATAACGTGCACACACACGCACACACATTGACTTCAACCCATAATGCTAGGCTGGTGCCTGTTTGGCTGAGCCCTCTTTCAACACCATAAGGGGAATCCGTTTTTGACACTCGCACTGTCCATCCACCCATCATTCAGGTTCGAAAATGTCAACCAGCGCAATGGCAGTTTCTGGAGCTCTTCAACGCCCGTCTCTTCAACATCCATCCACGTCACGGTCCAACAAGTCGCGAGTCCCCTGGGTGTTTGGGCTGAACATTTGGTGAGTCCCTGCCGGCTCTGCTGCATCCAAATGGACCATGGACATCTGTTGACCAAGCTCTCAGGGCCAATCCAGCTGTAATAAACTTGCCAGCCACGTCCAAGGCCTCTTTTTGGCTTCCACGCTCCTTTCGCCGGATCATCCTTTGGCAGGCCAAAAAGGAGCAGATGGGGGAACGAGCATTCTCGAGCTTCACTGGTTCAAGGCACAAAGCTGACTGAGCCAACCCTGAGCTTAGGCAAACCTAGTGCTCAACTGGTTTGCCTTCGCTTTATCCCCCACAGCTTCCAAAGCAAATATCCGTTTCGGCCCTGCCACAAAGCCTTTGGCTTCCAAGGGCTCCACTCGTAGACTCGTAGACAGTTGTTCCCCAAAACGGAAACCGTTGACCGGTTTGCCAACAAGTTTCGACTTGTAAGGCTCAATCCAGACCCCCTTTTCAGCGGCAAGTCGTTCTCCCTTGCCAGGTTTTCTCACGTCAATTGCCCCGTCACAGGATTCCGCAGCCTTTGGGCTGTTCTGACGCTTCCACAGGCACCGCAGGCAAAGGCCCCGGAATCCCGCTGCCGGGCGAGAAATCTCCGGAGCCCACGATGGGAAGGTCAGCACTCAGAAAGCGCAGCAGGGAGCTGGGGTTGTCCACAATGTAGCCTCAGATGAGTAACACCCCCTCTGGATGGACATGCGGTACTTAAATTCTGCACGACATGGGATGGTTGAAACCCTATAGATACTCGGATACACCACTACGCTGGTGTGTGATTTGGTCGTGAAATACAACTGTAGCGCCCGCCTCCCCTTGTTTTGTCGCTGCGTTTCTTAAACTCGTCGATGATTGGTCAGTTAGCGAGGAAATATGGGGTCCTTAAACAAATACGCGGCACGGTCAAATAATTATGAAACTTGTTATCGTGGTTGAAGTTTAGAGCTCGTCGCCCCATACTGGGCACTGCGGCTTTTAAGGAGTGCCTATACATCGCCACAGGGTGCATGCGCGCGCGCTCTTTTGCGTTCGTTGGCCTACACGGATGCATACGCAAGTCGTGTCTCCGCGGCCGTTCATCGCTTGTCTACCTTGAGCTTTGTAACTATGCTGAGTCATTCATTGCCTACTTGTTTACTGAATTTGGGAGCAGCTCCAAAATCGGATTCTCAGCACACGTGTAACACTCGAGATGCACTATTTGGCAGTTGCAGACTGAAACGAGACGCTTACCATAACACGAGCAGCGGCAGTTCACGAAATGGGCCTCGAACCTACGAGGTAGCGTACGCAGAGAATTGGAGCAGTTTAGTTTGGACAAAAAACAGGCCTCACATGAGTGATAGGAGCTTACCAGCTAACACGCAGCGATGCAAATGCCACTCTCCTGGTGTAGCCTCAACCACTGCAAAACGTGGAAGCTTCAGACAATGTACAACTCTACGATGTATCATCCCAGGATTGCCTACGCGGGCACCTAGGCAAGAACAAAATAATGTCAATGTACGTGAGATGCCTACGCGAGCCTAAGCCCCCCCACCTAAAAGTTGCCTACGCGAACATGCTGCAGTTCCCTTTTTGTACAACCCCTTCATCCTCGTAAAATGCTGCCTGAGTGGACCATGTATAAATCGTTGAGGATATCTGGATCATGAACCTTTCTCCGTTCGTGTTTGACCCTTTGGGGTTGGTTTGAAGGGACACCAAAGAGAAACCAAATTTGGAGACAAACAAAAACACACATGAGGCCAACTGACCTGATAGTGTGAAAAGTTGACATGCGCGGCTTCCAATCATGCAATTAAAATCAATGTATTAGACATCAACGAATTTTGAAGAGCCTTCTACGACTGCAATTGTCGGCGGAAAACGAAGGGCTTTAGATTGCTTTAGTAGGGCCTAATGTTTTAGTGTTTGGAGATAGATTCAGAGTGAGAAGGGATTCTTGGTTTCCTTTTGCGAGGGTGCAACCTGTTGGGGTTGTTTCACTTCCTGAGTGGGATGGCCCAAAACAAGTCCAAACGATTTGCTCACCACTAAAATGGTCCAAACCCAAAAAGCGACCAAAGCCCCAACGGAACTCAGAAAGTGAGTTGTTCAAAAGGGAAACCAAGGGAACCACCCAGTGGAAACCAAAGGAACCGCCGTCCGGTCGGGTCCGGCAACAAAGAACTCCTCACCGCTGAAAACCCAAGCGGCGATGCTCCGTGGCCCAGAAGTGGGGCTGTCGCACGTCCTGGCAGATGTCGCACCGCGCGTTCTTTTCGCCGGTCGGCTAGGAACAAGAATCGGAAAAAAGCCGACCCGAAACCAGGAACTTTAATACAAACAAAAGCAAGGAGTTGTCATTATATATGATCATGTATGTATATATATATATATCTCATATTTGGCCTCAAACAAATCAACGCGGAACCACGGGAGTATCCTGGATTCAGAGCTCGGCACAAGACGTTTCGGAGGAAGGCCAGACCCGAGAGACCAGTTGCCTATCCTTTCCTTCTGGTCCTTATAAGGAGAGAGAGAGAGAGAGGGCACCCCAGTGGCCATTTGACGTCCAAACCGTGGGGCGCCACGCCTTGGTCGGAAGCCATTTTCAACCTAAGATTGAAGGTCCTGACAAAGAGCCAAGGCCACTTGATTTAGAGAAGCCAGGTTCTTGGTACGTGTTCCAGGTGAGGTACTCCAGACACCCCATGTACGGGTTGATTGGTGGGTTGATTGTTGGGCGTACAGGAAGAAGACTCATCCCGCTAACTGTTGGCCCTACCAAAATGTGCATAAAGCTTTACATACCCCTTTGCTTCCCAGTTCTCACTATGGTAGTTGACAAGGTAGCTTCGCCTGGGTTTTACAAACCGGCTTCGCCTGGCTACCGACCAACTGCCTCATAGTTCCCAGCGGATAGTAGAACCAGCTACTAACATTGTCAACAGATTGGGCTCTGCTGGCAGGTCCTGCGGACGCAGGGAAAACAATTTACTGAGTGGATTGGAAAGTGTCCAAACTTGTTTTGCCACCAAGATAGTTTTCCCAAAAGTGTACAGCTGAAAAACGGCACAAGAAGAATCCACAGGGCCTTGGGTATACACGACCATCCCACTTGAATTAACGCGTGTTGCAGCCCTCATCGAACTGGCTATAACTGGGCTAGATGCCCAAAGGGGGTTTTGGGCGCTGCTCACCCGAGCTCGGCATTTTACTCACACAACCAGTTGACATGACTCTGCAAAGGGCTCATCCCTGGATCAGTTGCGGTTTGTTCCTCCCACTGATTTCCCACTAACCCTGGCCAAAGTGTCATGAAGCAGCAAAGCTGAAGCAGCAGAGCTGTCCATCGGGAAATCCAATAAGCAGGAGTTGCATGGACCAAACAAGCAAATCTGCCTACAAGGCGAACAAATGGGTAAACCGTGCTCACCATCGAAAGCTTTGTACATTTGGGAGTCCCTGTTCCAGGTAGTTTCACTTGCAACACATATTCCTTTCTTCGTGTCAAGGATGCCTTCGGACTCCCGGCGAAACAAAAGGGCAAACAAGGCACATTGTCACAAGCCAGGTTGTCAAGATTCGGCCCCTTCTTTTTTACGTCGTCCGATTCCAAAGGCGGCAAACAACATCGGTAACATCCAAAAAGGAGCCGGTCTAAGTTTAAAAGTCCACACAGGAAAGGCATGGGGGGGCTCCCTGTGAAATCGACTCAGCCGACTTTTTTTGGCTGAACCAGAAGGTAGACAGGCCAAGCCACAAGTTTGGGGTAGTGAGCCTATCGCCTTAAATCCCCGGGAAAAAAAACCTTTGCAATGCCGGGATTCTTGGGGTCGTCTTGATCCCAAAGGACTCGGTTGGGCATGTGTCCCAAAAGATGTCAATCCACTCATTTGGGGAGCCACCAAACAAACAGAAATTTAGAGAGACAAAGAGAGAAAAGGGAACCAACAGGAAACCACCCATTTTGAACGCTTGGATGCTGTCAAGGAATTGAGAAGGTGAGAAGAAGGCAGCTTATCAGAGTTACTTGAACCCCTCAGCAAACTAAGTGTGGGCCTCAAACCCTTAACGCCAGACGTCTAAGGCAAACCTTTGAACCCATCCGTTTCAGGGCTTCCCTCAAACAACCGTGTCTTGCAAGCATGCCAGTGGATCTGCTGACCCCTATTTTCCCAGGCCTTGTTTCAGTTGATCTTGAACAGTAAGGATCCCAAGGTTCATGCACACAAGTCCACCTGTTTCAATTGAGAATCAGTGTTGAACACTTACTCCTGCACACAAGTTCGCGAATTGCAGAAGTAAGAAAGCTTTGTGGCTACTAGTCCCTAACTTTTGGCTGGTTGGCGGAAACACTCACAAACACTTGCCTAGAAAGTTGAAGGTTTAAGATCCAACTAAGCAACGCTCTAACACAGGATGTTTTTACATGTTGCAAACAGCACCAAACCATTCTCTGAAAAGTACTTGCGCTCGATTATTCGGTACATATATATATATATACACAACATACAACATTGAATATTCGGCTTTCTACATGTATGTAGATATAATTATATTACATATGTATACGCAAC